TCTCTCTCTCTCTCTCTCTCTCTCTCTCTCTCTCTCTCTCTCTCTCTCACACACACACACACACTCTCTCCCTCTCTCTCTCGCTCTCTATCTCTCTCTCTCACTCTCTCTCTGACCCTCTACAGGTTGGAGAACGTTCCTGGTCGTACCGGAGCTAACACTGGAGCTGCACGTGTGGACTGACAGACGTGAACTCTACGACAAGCTACAGAACCTTGACAGTACGCTATCATCATTGTACAGGTGAGAGCGGGGACGGCAACGCACTCATTCCACGAGAGAGAGAGAGAGAGAGAGAGAGAGAGAGTGTGTGTGTGTGTGTGAGAGAGAGAGAGAGAGAGAGAGAGAGAGAGAGAGAGTGAGAGAGTGTGTGAGAGAGAGGGGGGAGAGAGAACCCTGCGAGCATTATTAAATTATATATAATATAATTATTACAAAGAGTGCCGTGTCTAATGACGATGTATGGCTGCTTGGCACACAGCTACAGCTATAGTGCCGTGCCCAAGGCTGCAAGCATGGTGTGGTCAGGTGTACTCCGCATTGCTAATAGCTAACCCGATGCTACTGCAGGTCGTTTAAACGCCGACGTGACCTTTCTTCGCAGGAATCTGGACAGCAGCACTAAGGAGATTCCGGATATCCGCGAGGTCCAACAGAAGATACGCAACGCCTCTCACGAGATGGACATGTGCTATGGCATTATGGGAAGCCTGTTCCGCAGCGGTAACGGCCCTTCTTGCTTCTTCTATCAGTGCCTATTGTTGTCTGTCCTTAATCCACGGTCTTCTATCAGTGCCTATGAATAATGCTCCTCTGGCTCATGTTGTTGTCGTTGTGTTCAGCAATTAATGATCGACGAAGCCTTAGCTGTATTAATATCCATGAGACGGGGTGCTGTGTGCACAAATAAATAGCAGATATGAACATTGCAGGGCTCGCTGAAGCAACGGACCGTTGACGACCCGGACAAGTATGTAATTAAAGACGATAGGCTTCCTGTTCTACTAGAGAGGTGAGACGCTTTAGTTGTAAACATGTCGAATAGACGCATTTATATCTTATCTTCTTCTATAAAGGGTGAAATGAGCCCGCCAGACTGGCTCCGTGCCCTCAGCGTATAGGTACACTGCTCACTCGCCCACTATAGTCAGTGCATCACACGGAACTTCGCACCAGTCTAATTCAATCTCTGCTTGTCAGTTGTTTCTAAACCTTTTTTTACACTGAAACGCAGGTTAGCAGACATGTGAAATTTTTCCTACTTTGTCATTTAGTGAAATGCCAACGAATGCGCGCTATAAATGTTAAACCGTCGCACATACAGTAGAACGCTCAATCTGATATCTGACGTGACCTTATTGTGATGAAGTGAAATGCAGCAATGCACACTGCAGCCACTCGTCTGATTGCAATCGTTGATTTCTTGCTGAATCTGATATTAGCATCATCGCTGTTGCTTTCGCTTCCATATTAACAAAAACGCCCTTAGCTATAGATACACGCACACACATGATTCACATTGCCTGACTAAAGTAACTAGATGCTACAATGCACTCACTCAAATTAGACCTACACCCAGAGAAACATACATATACCCTCCTTGCACGTGCACACACACAAAACACAGAATAATACATGTGGATAGAGAGAGAGAGAGAGCGAGCGAGAGAGGAAGAGAGGGATAGTGAGAGAGAGAGAGAGAGAAAGAGAGGGGGAAGGCATGGAGGAAGACAGAGCGACAGAGAGAGAGAGAGAGGAAGAGAGGGATGTTTACGCTAATTAGTAAACTTTGCCAAGTCAAACATTAATCAATTAGCTGATATTTGGTTTGTTAATGTGCAATTACATGGTTAATGTATTAGCTAGTATACATATCTGTTTCCATGTTGTTTGTCTTGCATCTCGTGCAAGCATCGGTGTAATTTACTGATTAATGCTAGTGACACTGCACGCGCGCGCGGGACACGGTCAGTGTGCGACATACAGTGTCATGTATTCCATATTGTTGCAGATGTACATGATGTGATTGACATGCTGGTGAAGCATCAACTGTCTTTGCTGATTCACTATGGTACACACCAGTCGTGGCCATCTTGTTTCTTCATCTAACATCCTGTAGTAACAACATACAGCACTGTATCTGCATGGAATATACGCGGTTTCCACTTACCAGTAATTTAAAGAAGAGAATATTCGAGATTTCACTGTTATTATCGGTTAGATTGGGCATTATTTGTGATGTATGCGCATTGCTAATGCTTCGTAGCCGCAAGCTGATTTTTATAACGTCAGATGTGTTGTTTGCTTGTAATCATGGTTGACACCATTGCTCATGGCTCCCTGTAATGGTGTGACAAAAGTGAGCTATTCCGATTTCCTTGTACATGATACACACAGTAGTGGGATATAATGTAATACAGCATAATAGTATATATAACATTGAACAATAAAAGTAAGTGTTTAGCTTTAAAAATTTCTGATATAGTCAACATTTATAGTGAAAAATATAATATTGTGATCCTTTATGTGAATGCTATGAATAATGTTAAAAGTGTGCTATGTGTATGATGTGCAGAAGTTTGAAGTGCACTCTGACTCCATTAGCTCATACAGGGTAGCATGAAGAATTGTGCTAATCATAGTGCCTTTCTGAAATTTAAGAAAAAATATTTTCAATTATTAGTCATGATTATATTCAAGCATAAATATTGTCTAATTTAACAGAAAATTTAGTGAAAAATGAACTAGTTTGCGTCTTTCATGTGATGTTTTTTTTAAACTTTAATAGGATGGGTGATAATGGTGCCAAGCTCTTCCTGCTCACGAACAGTGACTTCAAGTATACGCAGGTAAGTGACTTTGTGTTCTCACTCTGACTGTCCATTACACGCGTCACGTAACACAATGATTGTCTCATCCACACACTATCCAATTTCTCAAAGCCGTGCAATCTCTCGTGTGAACAACAACAAAATCGGATATTCCTCACCAATTCGAACTTAATTTCCGAGCATTCAGCTATCTCCGTGACAACGTCGTTAACTACGTATAGAATTGTGGCTCGGGCGTGAGTAGCGTGCAAGTCGTGTTCTTTAATGCAATTCACACTGGAACTCTGCAATGCGTCTGTTTTTGCAGAAGATAATGTCGTATCTACTGAACACACCCGACAGAGACTGGAGGTCCTACTTTGACTACATCGTAGTCGACTCGAGGAAACCGCTGTTCTTTGCCGAGGGAACGATTCTACGTCAAGTAGACGAGGTAGGTGCTATTAATAGCCGTAAGCGTAAGATATACTTTTACCTGCTATACAAATTGTAACTGTCACTGGTGACCTTGTGATTCTGGCTGTAAAGGCTATAAATTTGAAGATCAAACTCAATATCCTGGTTTTATTGGCAGATGGTTGTTTAAAAGTTAAATGTCTAGTCGGCTTCTTTCACGTATTTGTTTTGGTGCACGGCTATAAAATTGCAAGCGCACGCAGCTGTGTATTTGCACAATAAGAATAGTTAGAAAGCTTCAATGATGGAGTAGGCAATACTAATATCAGTGTCGGCCATTGTTGTGTTCTAGTTAGCATGAGGAGTGGGGATTGGCATGGGTCTGTTTTTTACAAAATTATCCTTTATATAGCCTTTATCAAGCTAGTGACTGAGAGTTTTACATGCCTTATAGCTGTAGGCAGTTAATATCGATCTTGGTCGTTTATTGATCTGTAGAGAAATGTCCTCCTGCAAGGTCGTCTTGATTGGGTTCCAATTTGTAAAATTATCTTTCCATATTTATGTACTGCTGTACATCAATCTCTTGTTCAGTTTTGATAGATCGTTATGTGAGACTGAGGCCATAACTGTATGACAGTTTACCTTCAGTAACAGATATAACATACTAATCACGATTTAAGAAAACCATTATGCGAAGAAAGACCTTAACTATAAATGTTACAGCTCGTTGGATAATACTTGAATAGAACATTCCTGTGGAAATTAAGTTCAATGTGAAGTAGCTGTGTACCTAAGCTAGCGATTCATCCACTGTAGCATCTCATCGTCATGGCAATAGTGATTGAACAATGAATGAAAGGCTTTCCATCAGCTGCTTCTGCTTCTGCTGCTGCTGCTGCTGCTGCTGCTGCTGCTGCTGCTGCTGCTGCTGTTGTTGTTGTTGCTATGTGGATTTGTCAGTATATGAGTCACTTTATAGTAATATGAATGCAGTTACACTAGCTGCAGGTAAATGTCAGACATAGTTGGCTGGATAAAATTAGGAGGCAGATGGGTATTGATGTGTTGCCTAGATACCAAACAAATAGACTCTAGTCTGTGTCAGGGCACTTAAGGATGAACTGGAGCATTAGCCGATATTCAATGGGGGCCGTTATGGTGGTCGTTACTATGTATTTATAGTCTAAATTATATTACGTGCAAAAAATCGTGATTCGGTCTTCACTATAAATTGTCTCATAACAGATAACTATGTATGCATGTACTATTTCTGTTCAATAAGCATCATGCTCACTAAGTG